TTAATGTTTTTAGATAATAACATTTTAACTAGTAAGCGCAACACATTCATTGACATTTTGGTTCATTTAAAACACTTAAACCTTAACTATTTCTATTATGGTTATTACTTTTGTTTATTAAAGATATCAAAAACCCACTTCGCATATTACAGAAACTGATCTTATTAGAGTATTTATATTATTATAAAGTTTTAAATTAGCTTTTAATAAAAATCCGCAATGTTTTGTTTCTTTATCTTTATAATTCACTACCAAACTTTAGATTAAAAAGAACATAAAATTTGTCAATAATTATTGTTACTAAAACCAGGGCATCCTATACTATTATTTGGGGAGTACACTTTATAAGATGCCCTTAACTAACCTTCCCTTTTGTAAGAATTTACTTAAGAATGCCATTAGAAATAAAATTTCATAGAGTAAATTAATTAACTCATTAAGGATAAACAAGTCAAATACTATTTTATACAATTTAATTAATTTAATTTAATTATAAAAACGAAAATCTATTATTAATTTTTTTAAAAAGAATGACCAATCAAAATGAACATATAAGATTTGATATCTAACTTATCACATTAATTTGTTATTAATCATTATACTTCACCTCTCATCTTTATATTGTTCTATTTCTATAAAATAAATAAAGTAATATATCATCTACATAATAAAAAAAAAAGTAAATTTTTTCCGCATATACAAAGATTTGAATTTTTAAAAACGAATATAAATTGTTCAATGTATGAAAAAACAAATTTAACGGGTCAAAAATTCATATTTGAGTAATATATTCCATTTTTAATATCATCAATACTTAATAGATCAAAAAGTTGAGAATTATAAATACTCTAATTTGATTTTTTGAAACAAATATTTATAATAGGCGGCGGGTTAAATATAATGTATTATATGATGAAATGAGTTATGATCCTTATAACTATTTGAATATTTATATTTAATTTCATATATATATATATTTTTAAATTCATAATTTTACATACTACAATAAAAATTTTAAAGATTTTAATTTGGAACATTTAAAAAAGTTTAATTTAATATATTAAAGAATATCATAAATATTTAATAGATTAAAAAAGATAAAAAAATTATAAATACTAATTTGATTTTCTAAAAAGATATGTTTAATATATTTATAGTAGGCGGCGGGTTAAAAGTAATGTATTATATGATAGAAAGTTATGATCCTTATAATAGACGATATTTTAAGATTTTATGATGAGATGAGTTAAATAAGGTTTGACACTTCTAAATATTTGAAAATTTAATTCTGCAAGCAATTTTGGAAATAATGAATAATAAATTGTGCCACAATATTTTTATAGGGATTGTAAAATAAAAATATAGACTCCACACACGGATCGAATTTGGTATTATTATATACCAAATATATGTTCATAACATATTCGATTATGTGAATAATTGGTAAATTCCGTAATTAGCTCAAACAAATCTCTATTTCAACAACCAATGAATTAGAATTTGAAAAAATAATTTCCTAAATTAATTCAAAATAATAGCTAACTAACTAATTCAAAATAATTTACGTTTTAGATGCGATTCATTTCTGATATTTTGATTTTTGATCTAACTAAATTATATGCACTCTCATTTTGTGGTTGTTAACATAAATTAACTCATTGTTCAAACAATATTATTTTTTTTGAAAATAATATTAATTTTCGTTCTCATATCTTTAAAAAATATATCCATAATTGAGGATTACAGAAAAATAAAAATATATTTATTCTAATATTATATATATGGACTGACATAAAAAAATTAATATTTTTTTACTTACTATTATAATATATCACGATTTTATTCTATAACTATATAATATATAAATTTTGTAATAAATGAAATTCAACCCGTACTGTAGTACGGGTGATGATCTAGTACACTTAATTTATATGCGAAGAGGACCATTTTCCACCTTATTTAAGTTAACTAGAGCCGTTAAATGAGACATGGAAGAGTTCATAATTGTGAAGCCCACCATTAATGGTTGATTATTAGGTCAAGAGGCAATTATTATATTTATGGGGTTGTTTTTTAACGTCTATTATTTTGTGATACTTAATTAACTAATCAACTTTGACGTGCTTAATGTATATAAATCTACATAGCCTTTGTCGACGGATATTCTCATAGCCTATGAGTTCTTGTTACCATAATTTGAGTGACCTTTAATTTCTTTAAAACAACCACATTTATTTTGAACAATTTTTTTTTCTTTTGTCGTCTGTTACATTAACATGATAGATGTTTTAACAAAATTGATAATTAATCTGGTATATATATGCAACATATGCAATTATAATGAACTATTTCTATGAACAATTTTATGATGTGCAACTCATCTCGCAACACTTGGATCTCCTATTAACAATTCTTGTTTGCGTCATACTAACGTACGATTGACAATTTTACCATGTAACATTTGAGACCACAACAGACGATTCTACTAGCAATACTTTGGAACTTCCGATTAACAACACTAAACTTCATATCTGATAAAAAATCTTGAACAATATTATGAAAAAATAATAGAAAAAAATATTTAATATCCAACTTAAAAATGTGTGTATAGAATATGCGACGCTAATTCATTGAAGGGTAAGTAAAGGGAAAAAATTTAATGGAACTTTATATTTTAACAACGTTCTCTTGGCACTAGCTATATAGTTGATTTTGAAAAAAATTAAAAAAAAAAAAACAAAAAAGAGCTCGACAAATTGTATAATACTGTTTCTCTTTTGTCGTATTGAAACTCTAACGCACAATTTTAAATTAAAACTCGACTCTATATGACTTTGTGCTATACCATAAAACAAAAGTCGTAGTGAAAGTGTTGGCTCCAAGTCATCCATTACCGAGTTTTTTTCTTTCTCAATCATCCATTACCATTTTTATGATTAATCGCGGATTTTTGGTAATTACCATTTTTCTTTATGATCAACTCTACGAAATAACCATTTTCTTTCTCAAAGTTCATACGACTCGTGTTCGTGAAATAAAATAAATAGTAGTATTATTAGTAAATTGTTATATATACTAATATTTCTATACTTGACGTACGCTTAAGTTTAGTGAGGAAGAAAAAAAAAAAAAGAATACATCACATTTAGATTTCATAGGTATATGCTTGCGTGACTCCGCCTATATAATGTACGTATAACGTATTAAATAACTTTTTTCTAATACGATGTGAACTTGAAAGAAAATATATGTGGCTAACGTGAAACGATATGCTCTTAGCCTCCTACCATAACTAAAGAAAAATCCAATTATGTGACCATCTAATTACTTTATTCTAAAAAATAAAAATGCTAATATAGTAATATTTCTTTACAACATTGACTTGATACTCTGTGTTCCATTTAGTTAACTATATAAACTCAAGAAATTAACAACATATATACAAAGTATATATACATACCATCTTATCCACAGTTCATTTTCATATATAAGACTTGCTAATTAGTTTATCGAATTTCTGATTAATTATGACAATAAAATTAAGTTGTGGTTAATTTTGAGTTTATGAGCCTCGGGTCTGATTGGTTCCGGCTGTAGCTGTAGATTTTTGACTGTAGATTTTAGGCTGTAGATGTTTTGGCTGTGACTGTAGATTTTAGTGCTGTAGTATTTTTGCTGTAACATTTAAAATTTTGGAAAGTTGAAAATTGTATGCTTTAGAAAAAAAGGCTTTCTACAGCCAAAAAAATTAATTATGGAAATATTTTGGCTGTGAGAAAAAAAAAAGGAAAGCTAAAGCTTCTAAAGCTTGATTGGATCTATTTCAATGCTTTAGAAATTTTTTTGCTTTGTAAAGACTCTAAAGCACTTGCCAATCAGGCCCGAGATGTATATTATAGGTAATTATCAGTTAAATACGTATACAGAATATGCAAAAGAAAAATTAAGACTAGTTCAAACCTTTTTGGAAAAAGAAAGGAAATAGACTAAAAACTGATTTCGAATCTACAGAAAACAAGGTCTGGACCCGAATTTTGTGGTTATCAAAGAAAAACAAGTTTTATATCTATCGAATTATGTGAGCGTAGAATATCAATTAACAAGAAATGTTGTATGAAAGTAGTTATTTAATAGAAAGAAAACTAGGATTTGATGGCTATGGTTGCTTAAAGGGAAGAAACACATTAATGTGTCCTCTCGTTGCGAAAAAGTCGTTCTTTCCATTCAAAAGAGGTTATTGACTTCTTTTGTATTTTTTTTTCGTTGTTACAAAGTCAATGACTTGTAACTTAGGGAATTTAGAAAAACCTGTACATAGCAATTCTTTTATTAAGCCACCTAACCTAATTATATATTATGACTAAGATGACCAAGTGAAGTATGTAACGTTTTTAGGAATGAAAACAAAAGACGAAAACTAAAATGTTTGGCCATGTGATTAAAACTTCACAAAGCATGCATCTTTATATATAGACTTCATTCATGCCATTCCTAGTTGCGTATCCAAATATATAAGGATTACTATTATAATATTGATACGACCATTTTATGAAAATGTGTCACACAATCACACATCTTTATGAGTTAATTTAGAGGTGCTAAGTACTAATTTAAGTGTATATAATATCTGTAAGTATCATGACACAAAAACGTCAATTCTCATGGATTATGGATTTAACTCAACAAAATGAAAATTTTCCTCAATGATCTTGCTACATGCTCATACTAATGACTTGTTGCATGGGTCTGACCTTTTGTATGTAAGCCAAGGCTTGACTTTTCATGATAGATTCACATCACTGCATTTTGATTATAACATTTAATTATACTAAGTAGAAACTAAGAAACCGTAAGATATATCTACATTTCTGATACAAATTCTTCTTGAGGGTTCCAAGGCAAGCATAATAATACAAAGTTGCTTTCCAAATGATGAACCCTAACTTTTGGCATATTGTTCTCTCCCTCTATATATATAACTCCCACTAAATAACATAGATGGCAAATTTACTGTTTTATTGATTCAAGAAACTATAAAATCGTTTGTATGTTTATTAGAATCACGCAGCAAGTACCAGAACTTTGATGGTTCCTTGACTATTCGCAGTCAACATCGTGGGACTATCGCTCTTCCAGCAAACCGCACTAATAAAGTATGAGCCCGCCTCTTCCTCTGCATCGTCCATGTCAGGTGATCCAAATCTGTGCGATGTCACGGGTCTTGTGATTTCCTGCATCACATCATTCACATTTTAAAATACTTGAGCAACGAGAGATTGAAAATCTGTGAATCATGAATGGCAAATGCTAAAGTTTAGAGCAGAGGTTTATGATTTGGGAACCTTGTGATATACATATACTTCGTTTGTCTCGCTTCCACAGGCGAGATACTCGCTATTCACTGTGAGACCCACAAAGTTCTTCTCGTTAGTGTGTCCTCTGAATGTTCGAACCTGAAAAGTAATATTGAACAACATAGTCAAGACTTTTTTTATTTTTGATAGAATCTGCAAGATTAGCTCGGGCAGTAATCTTACTGGCAAGTTGTCTTTGACATCCCATAAGCGTAGTGTGCTATCTGTGGACGCAGAAGCGAGCTCGTTGTTGGACAAAAATTTAACATAGGAAACTGCTTTCTTGTGTCCACTGAAGACATGAAGTGGTTGGCTTATATTTCTTAGATCGTAATAATGGATGTGATGATCAGCTGATCCGACCTGTAATAAGTCAACAGGCTTAAACGTCTAAGTCTCTCTTTCTAATTAAAGATTAGATCTAGAGACGTGTGATAGTGTCATGCTGATCATGAGTGGTAGCTCAATAATGATTAGCAAATATATGTCAGATGAAAAGTATATACCGCAATGTAGTTGCTTGAGCCAGGATTGTACTTGACACAACATATGTTTGCTTTCATATCAATATTAAGCACACTTGCTTCCTGCCTTGTGCACCAAACTTTAACCTGGATCAAATGCGGAGCACAAATGGCTAATCTATGAGACATGATTTAACAGATGCAGTAATGCATCGTTAAGGATTAACAAATAGTGAATTGACTTAAAAGGAGCCCACTGGTATAATATGCTTTCGTCAGAATTAGAAATCCAGTGAAGACAACCGATTCCTTTCGTCAAAATCACATCCAACTTGATTTTCTAAATAAGCTAGAGAGTTTTTTAATAACATCCAATTCAACTTGGACAGATGAAGCTACGAATTTCGAAGTAAGATTTACTACATTACAAGAGTCCAGTATCGTATGTTTCCTAATGTATAGCCACCACAGATACACTAAGGGGAAAAACTTTGCTGAAAATTTAAGAAACAATCAAACATTCAATGTAGGAAGGGCTACATATGACCAACCCCCAAGTTGGGAAGAACATCTCACAGAAAAGTTTAAGAGGTAGTAGAAAAGAGTCATGAGTACACAATGTACTAATGAGCAAGCAGGAGAATCTCCAGTTTTGTTTCATTATATGTCTCTTTAGTTTGTCAAAGAAATTAGACAAATCCATGACCAAGTTATTTATAAGAGCTAGAAGATATCTAAAAGTAGTATTCTTTTATATGAGACAGAGCCCAGTGTGAGATGAAAGGTGATAACGAAAAAAATGGAGTTACATACCTTGCAATCGTCACTACCAGATACAAGCATTGATGGTTCTGTTCGTGAAAAGTCAACACTCCAGGCACGTTTTTCGTGCTCTTCATACTCCATAAGACTCTGCCACCGTTTACATAAAATTTCAGATACGTTGCAGAATTCATGAGATGAATATCTTAAAGGCGCGATGTTAGATAATTTGGGCAAAGTACTCACCTGCCTAGTAGTTACATCCCACACTGTTACTATTCCTTCATAATCACTGCTTGCAATGTGATTTTTCTCATGCTTATTCCAACTCAAGCAACTAAGTTTAGACCGAGTTGACATCTCCACAATCGGACACTGCATATCTGCTGGTTCATTTACAACCTGAAAAGTAACTAGCCGATCATCAATCAGTCCAGAGTGGTCCATTGGATAAGACAGAAAATTTGATTATATAGAAGCTTTGATATATATTCTTCTACACAATACTAAAGTGTAAAATGGCTATCTTGCATCAAAGCTAGATTTTCCCAAGAGCATAACTTAGTTTTATTAAAAATGAAGCTTTCCTAGAATTGAGATGCATGATCTGTTTCACAAAAGCATAAGGTTGGACAAGAAGATTCAATTAGTATGTAACTGAATGCACTCCAAGATTTATGAACGTACCGAAGAGAAGTCAAAAACCTTTATACATCTAGAAACACCAGCAGTGGCAAACAGCTCATCATCACGATCAAACTCTATGCTGAAAAGAAACAGCACCCTCTTCATCAGCAAAATCAGTAAGATGGTACATTAAATTACAGGTAAACTAGAGGTCCAGACAAAGCATAAAGCATGTAAACTATGGAAGACCATAAATCAAAGCACATAGAGAGAAAAAGATAATGACCCCAGGAGCAACTGAAAAAAATATCTTTCGTCCCTTCATTGAGAAGAGATACTCTCATATAAAAGATCGCAAACAGCTTTTATATGTTCCGACATAGGTAAGGAGAACATAGTGTTCCATCTTTTAGAAAATTCTCCTTAAGTGGCCTCCCGACTACACAACCTTCTCCCTACCATGTCAGCAGATTCATCTTCATACCATTCACTGGCTTAGAATTATACAGCAACGAATCCATAGTAATAATTGAGTCTATCAATACATTAAACAAAACTTGATCACTTAAGGGAATATTTTGATATATTCGAAGACATTCTTTTGGTATTTATCATCTGTTATCTGATCAAACAAACAAGGAAAATAAATTCACCTTGATACAATGTTGGCTGAATGAAATATGTCCCCATGCCGGATTTCTGCTATAACTCTTAGACGACTGCGAATAAAGAGTGCAATTAAAAATCCAACAAATTCGAAAACATTCTTTATGTTCGGCTAGACCAATTGAAAAGGGACAGTCACTACTCTACCTGTAGCGAGTGAAGGTAGTCAACACAGATTGAAAATCTGCAAGGCCGTTGCTATAGCCTTCCCTCCGTACTACACTCTTATCATTTTCTTGTTTACTATTTGGTTGGTCCACCAACTGACGCCGCTTTTGGAGGTAACATTCTTGGAGATCATTGAACTACAAGACAAGACACTTAAACAGAATTAGCCAATCTAGTGTATATATCAACAAGCAGTTACAGATAGATTAAAGGACCATGCAGGATTTTTCAAGAAAACTACTATAATTGTCATTGCATAGTATTCACAGATCTGTTAGTGTGTCTAAAAAACATAGTGACTTTTGTTGCTATAGTACCAGAGAGACAAGAAGCGGCTACTATCACTAAGCAATAGATATAAAGTCCAGAAAGTTATTTCTATTTCTACGTGTAAAGAATGTGAAATCAATCACTCTCTGAAGCCCATCGGCTTTTTATACAGACCACCAAAAATGTGGGCCTTATCAAAGGTATATATTCCGTAAGAAGATTCATATTCTACCCACAACCATTTTCAATTTCTCGAGCTGTCAATCCAGATTACTAAGAGCTGAATGGCTAGGCATGGTACTAATTGTAGCACAATTACTGGAGCCTAATTGTACAATTATGCCTATTCTTTAATAGAGATATATCTGAAACTTTAATGCCATTGTCCTTGTACCATTTCAGCATAAGAGACATGTTAAAGATGTTGAGTAGACAAGAAAGAACAAACCTGAGCATGGATCCGTTTCTTTCTAGCCATTGAGACAGTTGATTGATTCAAACTTTGCGAATCTGACCCACTCAGCGCATCCTTCTTTGGTAGCCCATGAGAGCTTCCTTGTGCCTTCCCCTCTACCTTTTTGTTTTGATAATTGCCTAAAAAATTTCCTCCTCTTATGCTCAGAGAATTGGAGTTGAAACCACTCTGGTTCTTCTCATGTGGCCATGCATTTCTTGTGCTTGGATCATCTCCGAGCATCCGCAACTTCACAGAATATCTGTCCCTAGCCCGGTATAAATCTATTCTATGTCTCTCAACAGCATTTATATCCTCTTTGATATACTGGAGATCAGTTTGCACCTACATTAAGATAGAAAAGACATAAATTCCAGAATTCTATAACAGTCTGAGATCTCATCTAACATTCGTGGATTGTACGTCTCATGAATAGTTGGATAGATCTATTGATATAAACATGGTTTATGGGTTTCTTCCTTTTACAGCAGCTATAGCCAGGGAAGAGTTTGAATCTAATGGAATGAAGAGCAACGACAATAATTATCAATAGGTATGATAGTCCATAATTCAGACAAACCAACCTCATTTAGTTCATCAACTTTTTGCTTCCTTAGACAATGCAAAAAGTCCAACAGAATCTGCATGTTCCTCTCAGCTTCTTCCTGTTCCATTTTTCTCTTCCTTTCCGCAAGAAGTGACAGAAGATTATCAACCTCCTTAATTGACACATCACAACCCTGTCTAAGTATGAACGCAGGAAGTTGAAGGAAATGACTTAGAGTTGTTTATTACTCCAATAATAAATCTAAGAAAGCAAACTTAAAGAGAAAAAATGGAACATAAAAGCTTGTTAAGAACCGACCCTTTGAAGTGCTTCCCGAAATTGATCCAAGGGCGATGCAGTTTTTGACACATGCCGAGCTGAAGTTTTCTTCAATAGCTACACAAGTGGTACATATAATATAATAAGCTGCATTTCCAGAGATAGATAGTTTCAATATACAACCATTCCTATAAACATGCTTCTATTTCAAGTTCATCAAAAAAATAAAAAGAAGTCGACGATATAACATTCATGTAAGACGTGAAAAAAGTAAGCTCCTTTCAACTGTAATAAGCAGAATCCTACCAAAATACTACACATCAAAAACAAAACAAAACCCTCCTTAGAAAATCTAATGCTAAGGTTCATCGATTAAAGACTAAGCAGCTTCCTTGATTCCAGAAAAATCAAGACAAAACGAGTAACACTCGAACTTGAATTGAAAAGCTAAGCCACCACAAGCCCAAAACTTTCGCCATCACCAACCCATAAAAAGCATATAAATAACAATTCAAACTCAAATTTATGAGTAAAATTAGAAAAAGGAACCTTATCAAGCAAGAAATTAGGATAAAGCTGATTGTTGGTGAGGTGTTGGCTACAACAGGGACAATCACTCTTGTTCCTAAGGTGTGTGATGATACACATATAGCAGAAACTATGACCACAAGCCGTGAGGAAAGCATCTTTAATAATCTGCATACAAATCGGACAAAGCAAGTCTTTATCCAGATCCGGTGCTCCAATCTCAGAACCACCGTCTCCACCGTCATCATTTTCATTACGATTAACACCTTCACCAACTGAAGATGTCCTCGGGTCAGGTTTCACCGCTGGAACAAGCGGATCCGTCGAAATCTCTTCCATTTCTCTTCGATTGTGTTTTTTTGTTTTTTGAGAAAATCGGAATTTGTGAGAAAAGAGTGGTTGGGGTAATGACTAATGACGGAGATGAAGGAGGAGTGAGGCTGAGGTGTGGTGGGATCCACGGTGGTTCTTTTCTGAGGTTACTATACTTACACGTTGTTCTCTACGCGCTTCTTTTGGCGCGTCTGGCTGACGTTTCTTCAATTCCGGGTACGGTTTAATTACCCGGTTCAATTTATAGTCCGGTTTTCCGGTTCAATGAAATTTCACGGGTTAGTGATATTGTGACATGAGTAATTGACGAATGACGATGATGCTTGGTTCGTGTCTTCCAAAATAAATATCTCTTGCAATTTCTTAACCAACCAAGATTGATTTTGAATAGGGCTGTATACAAGGCAAAGACTTGCTAATTTTCAAAGTACGTGATCCGTTTTGTCTCGTTTAAGTGACCGACTTTTGGACTTGATATTTGTAAGATACTTGCTACTTGAATTAAAATATTTGAATATAAAAATAATTTCATACTACAATACAATTTTCAAAACATTTAAAGTTCCATTCTTTTTTATCTTTTCGATTTTGGTTTTTGTAAGTTATAAATTATAAAGATATAACTTCAATAACTTATTAAAACTTCTATATCAAAGCAAATAACGGATCAAACAAGCCGGCTAATTAATTTTTAATATTTATTATCCGGTTTGTTAACGATAAATACTTGTTTTTTTAAGGCGGGTACGAGACAATTAACGGATATCTATACTCATCCTTAATAAAAAAATTCTCAATTTTTGTTTCTATAAAAAAAAAATTACTGAAAAGTGCAATATTTTAATTTCCCCATCACTCGAAAGGTTCCCTCCATTCTTTTTGCTTTTCTGGGAAACCCAAAGAGACTGTGACGGAGAAGAGAAATGAGCTAAATAAATCCCTCTCTTTTTGATTCATCGGAACCCTAGAAATCGTCTTCTTACTTCTTTCAAAGGTGCGCCATTCTCACTAGATATCGCTGTTGTTATTGTTGTTGATTCGAAGCTAGGTTTTTTTTTTCTCTCCTTTCGGAGAATTTGCATGAAGCTATGATTTGTCTGCTGATAATTGTATGGTTTAGGGTGCATTGTTTCTCTCTTGACAGTCTTGTTATGCTACTGTATGACACACTCGAACGAGTTTTTGTTTGTGTAATGTTTTTCAATTTTGAAAGCGACAAACAGTTAAAGGTGCCATTTTTTTCCAGATTAAGTTTGTTCCCCAACAGAAATTAATACCATTCCTCGCGATTTAGCAGGATATGCCCAGGAATTAAAATCTTAGAACGAAAATGGTAGTAAAGGTTTTAGCTTTTTTACCTTTGGGAGCGGTCTTCTTCTTGAAGATGTTTATGGCGATTATCTTCTCTCTTCTCAAATCGAGATAGTGTTCAGAAACAAAAATCCTTTCTTTCTCGTCTTTATGAAAAAACCCCTAAGAAATGAGAGAGTAAAGTGATCTGAGGATGAGTGAGATGATCAGGGTTTAGGGAGAAGCAGTTCCAGGTCTAGTATTCTTCGTTGCAACTTTTGCCACGAAATGCTGCTTGGTGTGAGTTGCTTCTAGGTTCATCCAGGATATAGGCTTTAGCCATTATTGTGTTACTGTTTCCTTTGAAATTTCAAGGATTTTGACTCATCTTTGATCTGTTTTATCACCTGTTTGATAGTTTATTGTTTTCTCTTTCCTTGGATTTACTCAGTTATAAGAATCTGGGATGTTTTATGGATACTTTGTGGCATATTGTCCGCTGTAATATGTAATGATTAGTGAATTTTCACTCGTTAATTTGGTGTTTTTTTTCCTTAGACCCCTGAGCATTGTGTTTTTTGCTGGTTTTTGCCACACTGTAACTAACCTCTAGTTTTCTCTCTTGCAGATTATTTTCCCCTGCAAGGATGGAGAAATCTTCATCTCTGCCACTGTCACCCATAAGTATAGAACCAGAACAGCCCAGCCATCGAGATTATGACATCACAACTAGACGTGGGGTTGGAACCACAGGCAACCCAATAGAATTGTTCACCAATCACTATAATGTTTCTGTGAGACAGCCGGATGTAGTATTTTACCAGTACACTGTAAGATTGATTAGTCACTTTTCTGCATTCTTCCATCAGTGTCTGTATGTGTGTGAGATGTTTGACATATCTGTACCTTTTTTGCAGGTTAGCATCACCACAGAAGATGGTGATGCTGTCGATGGGAAAGGAATAAGCAGAAAACTTATGGACCACCTATTCAAGACTTACTCTTCTGATCTTGATGGTAAAAGGTTGGCATATGATGGAGAGAAGACTTTATATACTGTTGGTCCTCTGCCACAGAACAACTTTGACTTTCAAGTCATCTTGGAAGGTTCATTTTCAAAACGGTATGTCCCTCTTATCTGGATTGATATTTAATCCTTTCAAGGTGTGCAAGATAGATCCTGTTGATGTTCTTTCTAACGCAGTATATTAAGTTTGTAGTGATTGTGGTCTTTCTGATGGTGGTAGTCCTTCCGGTACTTGCAAGAGATCAAAACGTTCTTTCTTGCCAAAAAGTTACAAGGTTCAGATACATTTTGCTGCAAAAATACCGTTGAAGACTGTTCTCGTCACTCAGAGAGGAGCTTATACACCAGATAAGAGTGCTCAGGATGCACTTAGAGTGCTTGACATTGTACTGAGGCAGCAAGCAGCTGAAAGGTGCATCTTTCTGTCTGTTTGCTTTGTGCAGTATATATTTTCATTAAAAAGATACTGTCCACATTCTAATCGACAAATTTTATCATCATATTTTCACTTTGTTGGTAAATTTAATAGATGTACAACTATTTGCATTTTGTGACCATGCTAGATACGTAATATAGAAAACTGTTGATTATGCAGGGGATGCCTTTTGGTAAGGCAGGCTTTTTTCCATAGCGATGGGCACCCCATGGAAGTTGGAGGAGGTGTAAAAGGTATACGAGGTTTCCATTCGAGCTTTCGTCCAACCCTTGGAGGACTCTCGCTTAACATTGGTATTTTTCAGTATACCTTTCTCAGATCCAGCTTTCATAAACTTGTCTTTGTTGTTAATAGTTTTATTAATTTGCATAACTGTTTTCGTTTTGCGATGGTTTGCAGATGTGTCAACAACAATGATCTTAGAACCTGGTCCAGTTATTGAATTCCTGAAAGCCAATCAGAGTGTTGAGACACCACGACAAATCGACTGGATTAAGGTAGTTCTGGCTTTTGAATGCAATAACTGAGAACATGCCTGGCTGCTTTTGTTTTGAGCTTTTGAATTTCTCATTGAAACTTGGCAGGCTGCGAAAATGCTTAAACATATGAGGGTAAAGGCAACACACCGTAACATGGAATATAAAATTATCGGTCTAAGTCAGAAACCATGCAATCAGCAACTGTATGTTCCCCATGATTGTACTTTCAACATAAATTTTGTCTTCTTTTTCAGCCTTTGCTTGACTTTCTTCACCGTTTTCCAGGTTTTCAATGAAGATTAAAGATGGTGAACGTGAAGTACAGACTAGAGAGATTACTGTGTATGACTATTTCAAGCAAACCTACACAGAGCCTATTTCTTCTGCGTACTTGCCATGCCTTGATGTTGGCAAGCCAAATCGCCCCAACTATCTTCCACTGGAGGTATGCATCTCCAGCAGTTTTTCCTTTAGTTAATTTTTTTGTAGTCTCTTCTCCCACTTCTGGAGGTGTGTATGTTTGAATTTCTGATCCTTTTCTTGCAGTTTTGTAATCTTGTATCTCTGCAACGTTATACAAAAGCATTGTCAGGGAGGCAAAGAGCTTTACTTGTTGAAAAATCAAGACAAAAACCTCTAGAGAGAATTAAAACACTCAATGATGTGAGCTTCGTTTTCTGACCTCGGATGATGCTTTATCTATCTTGGATGCAGATACTGTTACTGACTAGAATTGTAGGCAATGCATACCTACTGCTATGACAAGGACCCATTTTTGGCTGGATGTGGGATCTCCATTGAAAAACAAATGACTCAAGTTGAAGGCCGGGTTCTCAAGCCCCCAATGGTAAACCTGTTTATGTTTTGTTTGCAGATAGAAAGATATGGCTATGGCTACCATGGAAATTAATAGTCCCATATTGTCCCATTTGTAATATATAGCTGAAGTTTGGCAAGAATGAAGATTTTGAACCTTGCAACGGACGGTGGAACTTTAACAACAAGGTAATTGTCTGCAAAGATTTCCGGGCACCACTATTTCCCTTTTATTTTTACCCTTTGTTTCTTGCTTTACAGATGCTTCTAGAACCAAAAGCTATTAAAAACTGGGCTATCGTCAACTTTTCTTTTCCATGCGACAGTAGTCACGTTTCCCGTGAGCTTATAAGCTGTGGCATGAGGAAAGGCATTGTAGGTCTCGTAGATACTGTCTCAATTTTCTTATATGGTATGTAGTGTTAAATTATGTCTGGTTATTTACAAAGTTCGAATATGGTTTGTTAATTCGCAGGAAATTGATCGACCTTTTGCACTAGTTGAAGAGGATCCACAGTATAAAAAAGCAGGTCCTGTTGAAAGGGTAGAAAAGATGATTGCAAAGATGAAGTTAAAATTTCCAGATCCTCCTCATTTTATCCTCTGTGTCCTGCCAGAACGGAAAACTTCTGATATCTATGGTATCATCTCACCTTTTTCCTGCGGGTATTAAAGTTTGAACTCTCTCATTTAACTGGTCGTTGCAAACAATAAAGGTCCCTGGAAGAAGATATGCCTCACTGAAGAAGGGATCCACACACAATGCATCTGCCCTATCAAGATCACTGACCAATATCTCACCAACGTACTTTTGAAGATAAATTCAAAGGTATATCACCAACCATGCTAACACTTGAGATATCTTTTTTTTTACATGTTGTTCTCTGTGAATTGACTTCTTTTGTTGTCTTAATATAGCTTGGAGGAATCAATTCTCTGTTGGGAATAGAGTACTCTTACAACATTCCATTGATAAACAAAATTCCCACCTTGATTTTGGGTATGGATGTATCTCATGGGTCTCCAGGTCGGGCAGATGTTCCTTCAGTAGCAGCGGTATTGATTACGTGTATTGTCCTTTGTATGTTCATTGTTTCTGGTTTCCTTTGGATCTGATTCTTTATCTGTTTACTTTCTCTACCTCTGCTACAAGGTTGTTGGTTCAAAATGCTGGCCCTTAATCTCAAGGTATAGGGCAGCTGTAAGAACTCAGTCACCACGTCTGGAGATGATTGATTCGCTCTTCCAACCTATCGAGAACACTGAGAAAGGAGATAACGGTATCATGAAGTATGTGAGGCCTAGTTTATCAGCTTTATTTTTAATCAAATTCAACAACTCATGATATATCGTACTCAAGATGTTTAAGTGTCTTCTCTATGTTTAATTATTGGTTTCCAACAGTGAATTATTTGTAGAGTTCTACCGGACAAGCAGGGCACGGAAGCCTAAGCAGATTATCATTTTCAGGTACTAACAAAACATGTACTGTTTATCTTTGTTGTCTAACCTCCGATATCTAAAATTATATCCTTAAACAAACCTTGGGCATTTGATAGGGATGGTGTGAGTGAATCACAGTTCAATCAAGTCTTGAACATCGAGGTGGACCAAATTGTAAAGGTCTTGTTTCAAAGTCCCATGGCTGGTTCTGGCTTCTATATCAAATTCTGTTTTCAATCTATTACTCAAATTCTAGTGAAGATATTATTTAACAATTTTGCTTCTTTTATACATGGCGCAGGCGTATCAACGTCTTGGTGAATCTGATGTGCCAAAATTCACTGTCATTGTGGCTCAGAAGAACCACCACACCAAGTTGTTTAAAGCTAAGGGTCCTGAAAATGTTCCTGCAGGTAAAAAATACTTTTTATTGTTCACCAGTCACTACGATTCCATTTCCTTTCAGAACTATTTCATCATATAAACAAATCCCGTTTGTCAGGAACTGTTGTGGACACCAAGATCGTACACCCGACCAACTACGATTTTTACATGTGTGCTCATCAAGGAATAATAGTAAGTTTAGACAAAAATAACTGACGCTTGTTTATTTTCAAAAGCTTCACTCCTCGCACCTTTATTACAATCAACTCTACATAATGTTTCCCTCTATGATCTCTCAGGGAACTTCAAGACCGGCTCATTACCATGTATTACTTGATGAGATTGGTTTCTCCCCTGATGACTTGCAGAATCTCATCCATTCTCTCTCCTATGTGTAAGTTCGCTTTCTAATGTCAATTACAAAAACCAACTTAGCTTTACCATCACTAACATCTAATTGTATCGAATCATCATCCTTCCAGCAACCAACGTAGCACAACTGCAACTTCGATTGGTAACACTCCCTAATCAAACTCTCTTCTAAAAATAAAAATGCATCCTCCTCTTTACTAGACAGAAACCACACAAACTTATTATTCAATGTGTCCTCTCTTTTGTGCTCTCAGTGGCTCCAGTGCGATACGCTCATCTTGCAGCAGCTCAATTTGCGCAATTCACTAAGTTTGAAGATGTAACGGAGGACGGGAAAGTTCCAGAGCTTCCACGTCTGCACGAGAATGTCGAAAACAACATGTTCTTCTGCTGAGTACATATGAGTAGTTCTGCTTCCTCTCTAGTCTCTCTATAGAGGAAGTTTATCAATTTGCATATATGCAATCCCCATCATCTAATCGGTACAGTTTCATTAGACAAGTATGAAGAAAGAGCCTCGCATAGATTAAAAAAGAGGCTCGTAGGCTTACTAAACGGCAGCGATTGTTGCGTTTCGTTGTTTCTCCTTGATATGCAATTAGCTTGGAGCTAATATGTTTTTGGATTTTTTAATACATTACTATTATTTAAAATTTCTTTTTTTTCTGTGAATTGTGACGAAGAAAAAGGGAAATGAAAAAGTGAGAAAACTCTTGACGTAAAAGTCTTTCAAACGGTCAAACCGGTCTAACAAACCGCGTCAAAACCCACGTGCACTACTAGAATACTTTGTAATGAAGTGGACGTTACCACAGACAATCACCACCACCTTTCAGAACTGTCTACGTGGCATAATATAGACGGGTCAGTATCATTGCTCTTACACTGCTCCCAAGGCCACCAGATCATTACCTCTACCCCAATTTTTCCACACGTGGGTCCTACCTGGCTGCGATGCAGGAGATTTCTTGTGCATGAATCAAACTCGTTTTGACCGTTTTGCCCCTCTCAACTTGTTTTCTTCTAGTTTACGACGAGTCAAGCAAGAAGCTTTGCCTTGGTCCCAAAGCCTGTTGTTTATTTTCATTTCCTTTTTTTTTTTTGAAACTGTTTACGAATCGTGTCTGCGTTTTTGTCCCTCGAAGATATCTAAAGCCGGTTTGACTAAACTGGATTCTATTTATTTTTTATTATAATTTGTGTACTTCAGAATCAAATGTTACATTAACACAACTATCTTATTCCCATTTCATACACAACTAAACAAAATCGAGATAGTTATTGCAATTTGAGTATAAATTAGCAAAACATCTTACAATATAAAAAATAAAAACTATTAAACCATCTAATATTTTGAAACAAGATAAGTATAATTTGACGAAGGACAAAAAAAGATTACAACCATGTGGGTGTAAATCTTCTTCGTGTTGAAGCTCCTAAGTGGAAAAAAGAATCTTAACTTGTGAGCTCAGTTATATAATTAGATGGTTTTTAAGACAATAATCCTAGTTGTAAACCTGAACCTATAGTCTATGGTCTACACTTGTCTTGTGCCCAATAAAAAAATGATACTAGTACATATGATACAATGCTGCAAAAAGGTCGGTCTCTTGGTAGATTCTGCCAAACTGCATTAAATGTTTCAATTTTTTATTCTTTTTTTTACCCAATTGCTTTCTATATTGTGCGTTACCTTAAAATCTAAATTTACCCCAAAACAACTACAAAGTGGTCGTAATTCTAAGAGATTAAGTAAAAAAAAGGTATTGAAGAGTACATAACCGAGTTAACAACTATTTAGATGATCATTGTATGATCTTTTTATTTATGTATTTGCTTGTTAGACACTGGAGTTGATTTATCATTTCACATTCGATTTGTTTTTAAAATATAACCCTTAAAACCTAATCTATTTGTATTAGTTTGGAAGCGAACTCATTGAACTGATCATGATTTAGATATATATTCTAGTTCATGATTATTGAGTTAAGTTCCTTTCACAAAAAGAATTTAAGTTAACAATTTTTGTTTTTACATGTTAAATTTCATAATGTTTCTAATATAAACATGAACTTATAATATGATAGTAATAGACAAAACTAAACTACACTTGACGTTATAAAACAAACAAGAAACACAAACATAAAAACAACTGGTGGCCTGAATTTTGCAGTTAGTGTGCATTCTTAATCAATCGTACTGAGTACAACAGTATTGGTCATTAAGCAGCTACAAATTAAGGAAGGATTCAGCGTGGGCCCTACAGCAGAATTAAACTGGTCCAAACCGCAGATTAGCGTACAAAGAGCATTTTAGTATGAGACACTATTTTATTAAAAAGCTCCCTTAATCTTTATAAATCAGTATTTTTTACTTTTCTCATTAAATAAAATACCGTGTAGCTCACGCTTTCCTTTCTATCCTTTACTCCACACTAAATGACGAAAACACCCATCAATTTCTTTTTCTCTCTCATTTTCTTAATAATATATTTTCCCTAATTTCTGAATTAATAATGTGTCATACAAATATTATAGTTTCTACTTTCTACTGTATATAGATTTTTCTACATAGGTTGTGGAGTCAATTTTAAAAAATCGTGTATAATTAAAAGGGTAAATAAAATTAGATTCGTTATGGCATATTAGATTCATTTGTAGTAGGATAAAATATAATAATGATGTAATAGACTACAAACTTGTCTCAGATAATTTCATCTCTAATCAAATACATGTTTAATTATATTTTGTTTGTTCTCAGAATAACATCTTGGTAAAAAAAGTTTGAGCTTATATATCAATAAGCTAATAATGACATTAATATTTTCATAAAAAAAGTTATACAGTAAGTAATTATTAAATGACTAGAAGAAACTTTTGTAATTTACAGGATTAGCTACAATTTTGGTTCAACATTAAGTATCTTTGAATGATACATTAATTTGTTTACTAGAGCACAGGAGTCAATAAATACATTTATTCATTCAGCATAATATAGTTGGAAATCTGCAGAGTATTAGTAAGAAGATATAATAATTAAGAAAAGGACCCACGCACCGTCATTTAGTTAGATTCGCCAATAAACTGCTTTCAAATTAGGTGTGTGATTGCATATTAAATGTTAACCATTTATTCTATTGCAAAGAAATAAAAAAATCTACAATAGTATTAAATTTATTTAATAAATAAGATTAGAATATGGTGAAGAAATTAGAGATAAAATATTACAAAATTTATTTACTATGATAAATCAATTTTTTAACCATATTTTATTGAATTTAATGCAAAACTTATTGTGCTACAAGGAAATTGTTTTAAAAATCTATGTTGAGTTATTATTATGAAAAAATCAAATATTATAAATGGAAATTTCATTATTAACTCTATTAAGATTAACTAACATAATATGTTATAACTTCTTTTTAGTCAGCATAATTAAATTAAAATCTTATAGAGAAAATAATTATTTAATTTTTTTTTTATTAAATAAGGTACCAAAAGAAGAAGAAGAATAGAGCGGGTCCCACAATGTTCGTATCCGACGGCTGAGATCGAACCACCACATTGAAAATTAAATCACGCGCAAACGAGTCGTAGGGGTAATACCGTCATTTCGGATGGACCGGCAGAATTTATTAATCCGTACACGAGGGGGCAAAGACTCATTACTCAGCACTGTTATTTTTATTTATTTTATTATTTAAATCCAATTTTTATTTTTTTCTTGTTTTCACATTGAAGAAGAAACTCCTCATTACATTGGGAGAGAAAAAAAAGGCAAAAAACCAAAAAGGAAGATCCGAAAATTTTCCCACGAAAATCTCATCAGATTCTGGGGAAAAAGAAAGGAAATCGCCAAGCAGAGAATAAGGCAAAATTTCATTCCTATTGGAATATTTGGGCACAGATTTTTCTTTTTTCTATTGGATTTGTTCAAACGATAAATCTATCTTAGGGAGAAAAAAAAAAAGTTAAATTTAACAAGATCGTTTCTTTTTAGTTTTTTTTTTCACATTTGTTCTTCGTTTAATCTTTCATCGGAGAAAAGGAAAAATCTTAATTTCCTTTTTCATTTATTTCCTTTTCGTTTGTTTGATCATTGTGATCATCGTCTCTACTTACACACAACTCTAAAACGATTTCTGTTCTCAGAAGATAACAGACGAACAAGAGTTTTGATTTTGTCTCTGTGACTTGTGTCTGTTTCATAACGAGTCATGTCAGAAACTCAGCAGCAGGTTCAGAACTCTACTGGGTCGATTCGATCTCCCCAGAAAATTCAAGGTAGTTACTTTTTTTTTTTTTCATTGAAGATCCAAAGAAACTTTTTTTTTTAACCGTAATGTGTTTGATTGTTTGATGATCATGTAATTTTCAAGTCTTAATGTGATTTCGTTTCTTTATGAGAGTTTTGATCATTCAAGTCTTAAAGTCCGAAAATTTAGAGGTGAATACGAATTTGTCTTTTTTGGAGTTATCTTGTTGGATTCGTCTTGTCGGATCATTGTTTCTGAATGCTTCTCAACATTTATGGAAGTTAAAGATCATGTGTTTTTTTCATCGTGTGATAATTGTTCTCTGATCAAAATTGGTAAAAGACTAAAAGTTTTAGATTCTGATTGCTCTTTGTCGGATTTAAAGTTCGACATTGTGTTATGATTTGAGTTTCGTTTTTTCTCGTGATTTAGATATATAATCTTCATGTTTCGTGTTCTTGGTGTTATGATTTTGTAGATACCTTCAGGAGGATGAAAGTTGATGAAGACAATATGGAGCAATCTAGTCCATACCCTGATCGTCCCGGTGAGCGAGATTGTCAGTTCTTTCTGAGAACTGGGCAGTGTGGCTATGGAAACACCTGTCGGTACAATCACCCTCTTACTCATCTTCCACAGGTGAGAAACTTAATTTATATGGCTGACTCTTCTTCTTGCACTTTTTCTGCTACTCTAGCTTACAGTTTGTAACATTTTGTAGGGTGTTATTTATTACAAAGACCAATTGCCTGAGAGGATTGGACAGCCTGACTGTGAGGTGCACTGCTTACATTATACTTATTATCTCACTTTGTGGTTTTGCATTGGTCTGAAAAGTTCGAGTAGCTTTTCTGGTCTGACTGCAAAAGTGATGCTTAATCGACATTTATGCTGCAACACATATCTTGTCTTGAGTCTTTCCTTGTCTTGATGCACCCATATTGTTTTACCTTTTCTCTTAAGATGTTTAACGAACACGTTCCTCTTCTGTATGCATTTTCTTTGCAGTATTTTCTGAAGACAGGAGCCTGTAAGTATGGCCCAACATGTAAATATCACCACCCAAAGGACAGGAATGGTGCTGGACCCGTGCTGTTCAATGTTCTCGGTTTTCCTATGCGACAGGTAAGATTACACCGTGCAGATAGCCTACTTATTATTACAGTTTCATACTTGATAGAAAACTTCATATGTTTCTTCTCTCTCCAGGGTGAGAAGTCCTGCCCATATTACATGCAGACAGGATTGTGTCGATTCGGGGTTGCCTGCAAATTCCATCATCCTCATCCTCAGCCTTCTAATGGCCACTCTGCATATGCAATGTCCAGCTTTCAGTCTGTTGGTTTTCCTTATGCCAGTGGAATGACAATGGTGTCTTTGCCTCCTGCAACATATGGAGCTATGGCACGTCCTCAAGTTCCTCAGTCTCAGGCCTATATGCCCTTCATGGTTGCACCTTCCCAAGGCCTTTTGCCTCCTCAAGGCTGGGCCACTTACATGGTAAGTCTTATATATCTTTGCTCAGTGCTCAAGTAGAAACCTTTATCTCTCTCTGTGAAGTTACGATAAGTAGACAGAGATTCACTTTCCTTTACCACATACCCATTTTGCAAAAGAATGTCTTAGTCTGAAAATTCTCTCTCTTCTTTTCTTTTTTTTTACTGTGGTGCAGGCTGCATCTAACCCCATTTACAGTGTGAAAGCTCAACCTGACTCCAGTTCTAGTGCGTCGGTGCCTGTGGCCGTGACATCACATTATCACAGTTTTTCTGAAAGAGCTGAATGTAGGTTTTTTATGAACACCGGAACGTGTAAATATGGAGATGATTGCAAATACAGTCATCCGAAAGAAAGGTTGTTACAATCACCACCAAATCTCTTGAACCCTATTGTTCTTCCCGCGAGACCAGTAAGTCTCTTGTCCTTCTTTGTTTTTTTTATGCCTTTCCGCAACTCGTTCTGTTTATCTTGTTACCGTCAACAGAGCTTTGGTGACACTAATTTCTCTGGTTTTGCTGTGTTCAGGGACAACCAGCATGTGGTAACTTCAAGGCCTACGGATTCTGCAAGTTTGGAGCAAGCTGCAAATTTGATCACTCAATGCCACTAAACCCTTATAACAATACGGGCTTGGCCATGTCTTCTCTGCCTACTCCTAATCCTTATGCTCCACCTGTTTCAACTAATCTGAGGATCTCATCGCCACCAAGCCCCCCTGATTCGACTACCCTATCCAATGGTAAACCCGCTGCTGCAGAGACTCAAAGCTTGGAGACTGAGAAACAAGAGGATAGTCCAGCACAGCCAGAAAAGTCAGAAGTGCAGGACTCATTGCCACCAAGCCGCTCTGATTCAACCTCCCTGCCCAATGGTAAACCTGATTCTGAGAATCCAAGTTCAGAGAATGAGAAACAAGACGATAATACTGCACAACAGGACAGCACAAAAGTGCAGGATTCATCTGATAAATCTACATGATCTCAAAGTCAATGACAAACTGGCTGAGTCTTCCCCTCTCAGGGTATCTAACGGTCTCAAAATGATCTCTCTGCCCTTTTTGTTAATTTTTTGGAAAGAGGGCTTGGAAGTGTTCTATCTTTTTGGTTTTTTTTTTCTTTGGTTTCGGAGACAGTGATGGCTGAAACAAAATAGGAAAAGAACAGTGTTTTGAATTGGTTAATAAAACTTGACACCCTTTAGCAATTTTCAGATTCTCAACAAATCAAGTTCCATGATTTATTTTTATTTTAGCAGAGTTTATATTCTATTTCTTTGGTGCAGCAACTAGAAAAGGTTAAAGCCAAGTAATTTTTGGATTTGCAAAACACAAATTAGCATCCCTCTCTGTAACTTTTTTGGCTTTAGACATGAAATTGGAACCCAACACAAATAGAATCCTCTCTTTAGGACAGAGACTTCGCCTAGAAAGGGTAACAAAGAAAACGAAACGAGCTCTGATGCTGATGTGTCACGATATGATTGGTCAGACTACGTAATTCCACGGAGCCGGTGCTCTTAAATCTGCTGCTTCGCAGGATCGCGAGAGAGACAAGGATACAATACAATTTTATACAGAAGAAAGTGAAAAGAAGAGAGAAAGGGGAAGAAAGAAAAAAAATGTACAAATCACCATTAACGTTGCTCACGCTTCTTACTCTTTGTTTTGGATTCTTCGATCTAAGCAGTGCTCTTTATGGATCTTCGTCACCTGTGGTTCAGCTCACTGCTTCTAACTTCAAGTCCAAGGTATGGCTCTGCATCGATTTCATCTTTTGGTATATCAATCCTTCTTCACACGATTGTTTCTGAGAATCTCTATTGGTTTATCTGTATAGATCCGGTTTAGTTGCTAATTCATTGTTGTAATTGTTTGGGGTAAACCGAAAATGAGAATTGATGTGAAACTGTGTTAGTGTTGTTGTTAACTTGTTTGTTGTTGCAGGTTCTTAATTCAAATGGAGTTGTTTTGGTAGAGTTTTTTGCACCATGGTGTGGTCATTGCAAAGCTTTAACACCTACATGGGAGAAAGTGGCTAATATTCTCAAAGGAGTTGCTACTGTGGCAGCAATTGACGCAGATGCTCACCAGTCTGCCGCTCAGGTTTGTCATGTCATCTAAAGCTTCTATTTTTCCATGTAACCGTTGCTCGTGAATCGTACAAGAACCAAACTTTTTACTCACTGTAATGCATAAAGCTCAGGCTCAGGTTCCTGATACTGATAATTAACTCTCTTGTTCAGGATTATGGTATCAAAGGTTTCCCAACTATTAAGGTCTTTGTTCCTGGAAAGGCTCCAATTGATTACCAAGGAGAAAGAGATGCTAAATCCATTGCTAATTTTGCTTACAAGCAGGTTTGTCACCTGCCCCTACTTGATTCTTCATTATACTCTTTTTTACTGTCAAGAAACTTGCTCATCCTCTGACATGATTGGGTGTTTCTAAAGCCCCACTCAAGATGTTCTTGCAACAACAAATGACCTTTACCTTGTCATTTGTTTTGGCCAGACAAGCAGATAACATGTTCTGATAAATATTGCCCTAGTTATGTAGAAGAAGTTTTATACTCTTTAGATCTTCTTCAAGCTAAGTACCACAAGAATATGTTGTGGAATCGTACTATTGCTAATGTGCTATTTGTTTGCTTGGCAGATCAAGGGTCTTTTGAGTGACCGTTTGGAAGGCAAAAGTAAACCAACTGGAGGAGGATCTAAGGAAAAGAAATCTGAACCTAGTGCATCTGTGGAACTGAACGCTGGCAATTTTGATGAGTTGGTCATTGAAAGCAATGAACTTTGGATCGTTGAGTTTTTTGCACCTTGGTAAGTTGTCCTTATTGGGCCCAATGAACTGTTCATGCCTTTGAACTTCTTCGGTACATCTGAAGGTGTAAAGTATCTATTTTTTTTTCCTTTCTACTTAAAGGTGTGGACACTGCAAAAAGCTTTCCCCGGAGTGGAAAAAGGCTGCAAAAAATTTGCAGGGAAAGGTGAAACTAGGTCATGTCAATTGCGATGTTGAGCAGGTAATCACTAGAAATGTTTACATTTTATTAATTTGGTTATCAGAGATAATTTCTATGGACTCTTTCCCGTCTCAGCATTATACTGGTTTCTTAGAAAATTTACAATATTCGTAATCTTTACCCATTTGCCTTTGGAGCATGAATCCTGACCAGCTGCCCCAATGTCTTTATTTTTGTATCAAAAACTGTTGTTTTCATTTTGCTCGTGATGAGTTCTGACCAAGAATCTTATATATTGCAGTCAATAATGAGCAGATTCAAAGTGCAAGGATTCCCTACAATTTTGGTATTTGGTCTAGACAAAAGCAGTCCATATCCTTATGAGGGTGCCAGGTCTGCGTCAGCGATAGAATCTTTTGCTTCTGAACTTGTGGAATCCAGTGCTGGCCCTGTTGAAGTAACTGAACTAACTGGGCCGGTATTGTTCACATCCTTTGTTTCGTCTCTTAACATTATTTCTTAAATACTGCTAGACTCGAATCCAAGACATTGACACTTGTTTCATTGTGATTGTATAGGATGTCATGGAAAAGAAGTGTGGTTCTGCTGCTATTTGCTTTATCTCTTTCTTACCTGACATTCTTGACTCCAAAGCTGAAGGAAGGAACAAGTACCTCGAGATGTTATTATCAGTTGCAGAGAAGTTTAAGAAGCATCCTTACAGGTATTCTAAAAAAGATTATAACCTCTGTGCTGCAGCATTGTCTTGTTCTCATTTAGTATTAACGATTTCAGAGTCGTCCCAGTAGGGGGAGAAGAAGTTTCAAGTATTTTTGTGTTCTTAGGAACCTAAAATCAACGAAGTGTGGAATTATTCTGTAGAACTATATTACCTAATCTGGAAGTCTCAATAAAGAATCAATACACAATCTTACAGAAGTGTTAGGATATTAAATTGTTACAGTCAACAGAGAGAGGTTAGGGTTCTTATAGAAGTGTTAGGACTTGCTTGGAGAACATATGGAAAAGCCTCGTTATTTTTCCTGCACATCTCATGATATTATCATCTCTTAAGGCAGAATGAGAATCTTATGTAAAAGTTTATATTGTCTGCAGTTTTATGTGGGTGGCGGCGGTAACTCAACCGGATTTGGAGAAGCGAGTTAATGTGGGGGGATACGGTTATCCAGCAATGGTAGCCATGAATGTGAAGAAAGGAGTATATGCTCCTCTTAAAAGCGCCTTTGAGCTTCAACACCTCTTGTAAGTTTGGTTTAACTAGAGATCACAATGGTTCAGGTGGTTTTCGACAGGTAATCATTGTTTGTTTTATTTCATCAGAGAATTTGTCAAAGATGCTGGGACCGGTGGGAAAGGAAATGTGCCAATGAATGGAACACCAGAGATCGTGAAGACAAAGGCATGGGATGGTAAAGATGGAGAGCTGATTGAGGAAGATGAATTCTCACTTGATGAACTCATGGGAGGTGATGATGCTGTTGGTCCCAAGGATGAGTTGTGAAGAATCCAAGTTGGTGATGATGGATTTTACTACTTTTGGGATCCTTGAATGTATTTCACCCTTTAATGTTTTCCAAAAGAAAGCAAGAGCATTTCAATTTTCAAGAGATAGGAACATGTCTGGATTTTGTATTACGATAGACACATAACACAGAATCTTTACTGGAGTGATATTAGAGTTCATTGCTCGAAATAATTTTTCAGTGGAGTTTCAAGTTTTCCATGAAGCAATCCACAATGTGCATGTCGATTTGAGGATTATAGTCCTATATCGTAGTTTCTTTTTATATCAACTCAACACTATGAAGTATCTATACTCTTGGTTTTAGCATTATCTATTAGAGAAAAGAGGTATTATTTGCCGAAACCAATTGGTACAATGATCAGGTAATAACCAAATCAAAATCGTACCCTTTTGCTGCAACCTTTAGTATCCATATCCAACATCAGATAAATTCAAAGGGAGAGGAGAATTACACAATCTAATTTCAGCGGTGAGAATAAGGCAAAGACCGTGAATACGCATACCGGGATGTTACTAACGAAGGCGGAAGCTCAGGTTCAGTTACGCTTGGGTATCTTTGTGATGATCGGTAGTACTCAGCCAATGAATCCGGTGTAACATACCGGGAATACAGGTCATCATCTTCTCTTCCTGGAGAAGCCATGTATGTCCTTGGTGGTCTTTCAAGAGCATGAGTATAAACGTAATACGGATCTCTCCTGTAGGAGTCCAGAGCAACCGCTGAAGCTGGTGGGTCGGGCGAGTTTCGAACCAAGATTTCCCGTCTAGAACTAAGATGATCATATGTGTGGTAGTCTCTCTCAGACAAATGAGGATGACGAACTTCCCTACGGTCATGCCTCTCAATCTCTGCTTGTCTCAAAAGCCGGTCGTGGTCACGGTAAGAATCCAAACGAGCACGGTCTCGGTTGACAATGTGGTAAGAGGAAGAAGATTCTGGAGGTGGAATTTGGTAATGCTGGGTTGTTTCCCCTCCTCTCAAGCCATATGTTCGATACTCCCTTTCACTAAGATATAAATCACGCGGTTGTTCTTCTCTGCGTGGAGGAGGTGAAGCACGTCTTCTTTCATGTGTGTGGGTCGGGTGACCCCTACTGCTACCAGGGGCATACCGGTCTCTATCAGATCTTTTCCTGTCAGCATCACGAGGAACAGGGATTTGCTGGGTGTGGGAAACTTGTGCAGGGATTGCAGCTGGCCGAAAAAGCTTTTTAAGCTTAAATACCTTTAAGAACACCATAATAGAAGAGAAGAACAGAGTGATGAAGACGTGTTAATATATAAATTAGAGAAAATGATGAAAATATGAAGTTTACCTGCTTATGAGTCAACTCTGTTTTGAACTTGTTTTTATTATTGTAGTTCTCCTTGATTGCTTTCTTGAATTGGCTCTCAGCCAATGGGATGCAATCACTAAAAATCTTAAAGCGTACCTGAATCCAAAGAATATCATCAAGTTGATTCATAAGTTAAAAATAAATTCCGACGAAACAAAACTCATATCATCTTCGAGACTAGTTGTATATATGAAGTTTTCATATTTGAAAACAGATGTCAATGAAATGGCTAACAAACATGAGTGAAACACAATGTTACCTGAGCAGGAAAGGATCCACCAAAAGCATTGCGCTCAAGTTTCATCCCACCCGCAGAGGATGCTTCAAAAATTCCATAGAGGAGTTTGAGATCATAGTCATAAAGAAAAAGCTTAAGCCCAGGCTTGATACCCATGACAAAATCCTTCCTTTTCTCTTGTACACCCATCACACTGAACCGAAAACAATCGGGTCTAGTTTTTGTATTGCACATGAAGATCAATCCACCAATCTTTACTTTCCCATGCCCATCAATTTCTCTTTTCTCAGGGTCAACAGGCTGCTCTTTCCTCTCTTCCATTCTTTGTTCTGTTGCATCAGCAGCAGCTACTACATCTTCCCTAGGTTTCTTGTTTGAATCTATAACCTGTTTTCTCTGTCTCTTCCTTTTGCGTCTCTTGTCTTCAGCCAAGCCAGTTTTGGCTTCTACAGAACCGTCAATAGCTTTCTTAGCTTCGATCAAGTTTCCTCCTGGAGAAGCTCCGATGTCTCTCTTATCAGTTGCACTCTCTTTATCCATCCCCTGAGCAAGAGTCCCTTTGAATTTTTTCCCCCTTTGCCTCTTAGCTCTTCCCTTTACCTCTTTTAGTGTTTCCTTACCAGAAGGTTCGCCTCCAACAACTTTAACATCATCTGCAGGTTGAGGAGCTACTTCTAATTCTTTCTGAAATTCCATATCATTTCCTCCAAGATAGGGTTCTGAATCTTTGTCTTTTCCAGAAGAACATTGAGAGGAATTTGCAACAGACTCTATAGCCTTCTTAATTTCCTTTTCGCTTTCTCCAAGAGAAGGCTCTGCACTTTGTTCATCTTCCTTGTTGACATTCTCCTCACCAGGTACCTGAGCAGCAGTGCCTCTCTTAATTTTCCTCTTTACCAGCTTCTTTACTTTCTTAACAATTTTAGTTTTCGCAGGTAAACCCAGTGGATTTTTCATTCCAGAAGAAGTTGCTTCAACAGAAGCAATAAGAGAGGGTTCTTCAACAGTAACATTTTCTGCATCATTTTCCACCACCGGTGCTTTTAAGGCTGCCAAATCCTGATTGGTATCCACCAAAGTTTCTACAAACTCTTCATCTGCCTTACCTTTTTCTCCACCAACGGTTTCTTCAACCTCATTCACATCCTTTTCCTCAGCTTCAACCACCACTTCCTCATAATTCCCGGCAACTATATCATTCTCAACCACAGAAGACTCAGGGGCTTTCTCATTCTCATCATTCTTAGCATCTTGCAGCTCCATTTTCAAGAAACAAGCAGATTTTAATGCGTAGTCGCTGCAAAATAAAATGAAAAAGAGATCATGAATCATGGTAAAAGAAAGCATTAGCCAATGATTACTGTGACATTTGGCATCAGAGAGATAATCATCATTCTCATCACCTAACAAGTAGATTATAATGTCTCGGCCGTTAAAAAAAACAGTAACTGAAAGAAGAAGATAGTGATTAAGAGAGAAATTAAGAGATCAGAGAAAAAAATTAGCTAAAGTCTCTGTCTTTCCATCACTTGTGGTCTTGCACTAATCAAGATTTATTTAGAATGTTGAAAAACTGTAATTGACATTTATAGACCCCAAAACACAGAAGAAAAAAACAGAGATCCGAGCAGAATCAAAAGAAATAAGCTCAAACAAATCCTTTAGGTTTAAATCGAATCTAGAGTGTGCTCGAAGAACTCTTACCAAATCGAAGAAAGAGCAAATTGTCGACGATGATCTCTCCAAATCCGCGGCACAGGATTCTGATTAGACCCGAAACGGATCTTACCACAATCGAGAAGAAAGACAAGAAAATGACCAAAGAGTTTAGAGAAAGAAGAGATATAGAAGAAGAGGAATAAAAAGCTTCATTCAATTGATCGGTGGTTGTTTTGTTACCAAAGAAAGAAGCAGAGTTGATAATTTTACCAAAGCGTAAGAGACGAAGATGGCGCAGAATCTAAATAACCTAAGCTAGATAAATAAGTTTGGGCTTTATCAGGCCCAACAAGGCCCAAATCTCAAGTGTTCGAAACTGTTGTTTTCATTTCGCCAGTGATGAGTTGAGTTCTGCCCAAGAATCTCATATATTGCATTTAATAATGAGCTGATTGAGGAAGAGGAATTTTCACTTGATAGGAATTTTTCGAGCAACCTGATTTCATGTAGTTGCATCATTTGTTTTGCCTCGCTGCTGCCTTAGTGTTCTCGTCATCAGCTAATAGCTTATAATTAATATGATGTACCGCGAAAGCAAGTGGACTGCAGGTTTCAATCTTTTGACGAGCTTTGACTATCAATTCTTCATTTCCAATCTTGTTGTGACAATCTTGACATCACAGCTCTCTACGCAGGATTGTCTAGCAGTAAAATACTTGCAATACCTATTGAATCCGAATTTTTTTTGTGCAATTTTTGTCCGGATGCAATTGAATCCGAAACTTTAAACAAAAAAAAAAACTTAAGTCAAACATAAAAAGGGATCAAAATAGAATCAATCTCCAAGTATCTATACTAGTATTTTTGAAGTTCATATCTTTTTTGGACCGGATCAAAACATATCCGTAACTATGAACCAGATATTTCATATGTAAAAATATAGATATTTAGAAGATTTGGTTAAGATTTAGAAATACAATTCTTCTATCATTTTTATTTGAATATTTTTTAACTGTTTCGAATCGTCATATAATACATAAAGTTATAAAAAATCTCAATTTTTTTCTGCATATATTGAGATTCAAAATTTTTAAAACGGATATATATTATCTAATTGATGAAAATTGTGTGTGTTCAACGTCCCACATCGGCTAAAATATTTAAATATTGATCTACAATCATATTATAAATAAGATCAAAATGAATCTAAATCCGAATGAACAAGAAGCTCAACTTAAAAAGCATCCAAATTTAAAATTATATACCGTTTCGGTTTTTTAGTTTAACTGCTTCATTTTACCAGAAATGTTAAATTTTAAACTTTTAAAAAGTTTTAAATAATATAATTCATATAAGATCAATAAAAGTTTATAATACTATGAACATTTGAACATATATAAATAGTTACAATAACACGTGACAGGTTATATTGGTAGACAAGGTTATATAACGGGACGAGTTTTAAAGAAATTTTAAATATTATAATTCATATAATTAGAATCAATAAAAAAAAGTTTATAATATAAGAACATTTGAACATATATAAAGAGTTAAAATAATATGGGATGAGTTTGAATCAAAAAATTTAAAACATTATTAACCCGTTGCTTCAATACGGTTAAATGATCATTTTATTACTTTTTAACATCGGCAATATTAGACATATCGAATGATCTTGATTAAAATAAATTATATAAACAAAATTTGTCTTATGGTATAATTTTATTTAATTACAATTGTAAACTATAAAATATAAATGTCTTATAAAATGATATAATTTGTAAATTTATATATATAATATATAACCATTAAATTTTAAAAATCACTAATTTTAAAAATAAATCGTTCCGCGGTGTACCGCGGGTTAAAATCTAGTATTATGAAAAATATTAACTAAGTAAAATATATTTTTAATAAAAAAAATTTACCTATTAATTTATTTATTTTAGTTTCGGATTAAATGCAACCGGACCAAATAAGTTTTCTTGTGAATTCCGCATGTACCCTAACCAAGCAAACCGAACCAAAAACCAAAATGTTCTCCGGTATGAAGTTTTAAAAACCATAATCTCCACAAATTTGAAGATTTATTTTTCAGTCTAATAACAAAAGCCAAATGATGTTATATGTAGTTAAGTAAAATCATCCACTTCAATGCTCTGTGAAAACATAAAAGAGTCATTGTATATCCAATGTTTTCCCAGTTAAGATCGTTTTGTTTCATCAATAGGTTGATGACTCAGTTGCCACAGTACCTTGCATCACACACCACACAAGTTCCTTTAATTTCTAGTTCCTTTTCCTGCATCCATTACATTTCGATCTCCCATTTGGTTTAGGAAAATTATGAGCAGAGTTGGCTAAAGGCTTAAAAAAATTATATCAAAATTCTATATATCCTATCAAATCTATATATATATCTTAGTTAATATCAAAATAGTTTTCATATAACAAAACATAATCAACTAAAAGTATAAAAATCCCCAAAACTTTGTTTAAAATATAAAATTTCTAGTGATTTATTATAGTTAGCCAAGACAACGAACAAACTGTGTTCTGTTTTGTTTAGTGATCGATCCATCATCGATAAAACTATCTATTTATAAGCTTCATTATGTTTCTGTCTTTTTCCTTTTTCTTGCAAAGCAAATTAAGTTGGTTTTTTCCAGTTTTTTTCTTCTGCTTACTAGTCTTTTTCGTTCTTTTTTTTAATTACTTTTTTCCTATATTTGCAAATTGTGCCACAAAACAATATATTATTAAAAATATTTAAAGCTTAAATAAAGCTGAGAAAGTATTTATCATCAGTCCACTCGAGATTTAACGAAGCAATCTTTGTGGCTCTCCTTTTGTCTTCTGCTTTTGGATTTTGGTGTTTTTTTTTTAAGAGACTTTGCACTCTTAAGTATTTGTATAATATAACTTTTTACGATTCAATGCAAATGGAGTTCTTATCTTCTTCCTTGCGCAATGAACAAACATATTATAAACGCTGCGAAGTGCCTATAAACGTTTTTACCTCTAAAAAACGCGTCGCTTGCAGCAGCGCCCTAGCTCGAACAGAAACTCTTCCAACATTCTTGCTACACTCACAAACCCTGCTGATACAAAGAGCATTCACGGTCTCTTTCGAGGTCATCATAAGAACTCGTTGTTCCTGACTTGTTCAACAAGTTATCGAGCTATGATCATCGTCGCTCATATCTAGGTCAAAACTCATAAGCAATGGAGAGAAATACAGAGACGATGTTTTCAGATGATAAATGGATGCATAGTAGAAACTAGCCACGAGGTGGAAGGTTCTCGATCGGGTCGATGTCCATGTCTCCGAGGATCCAACGTAGTTCATACACTCGAGTAATGTCGTCACTTGCGCCGATCTCATCATATCTAAAGTCTCCTAAACAAACACCAACACCAAAAATCAAAACCCTAGAAATCAGAAGAAAACCATAAAAAGAGACAAATCTCGGCGAACATATAGACGATGAATTGGGACGTCTTACACACATATATAGAGGTCAAGATCTGGTGACTTTGAATTTTTACAAACGATCAACATTTAATTTGGTTGATATTTCTCGTAAAATTAACATGAATGGAGGAGATTACCAGGTCGATGGGCTCTTCGTATATATACATGTTTGACCGTTTAATTTTCGTATAGTATGTAGCAGCCTTTGTATAAAAATCGAGAGAGATTGTGTGTTTGGGAGCAATAGCATATGACTGTAGCTTGTTGTCCAAGGAACAGAAAGCCTGGCAACATTAATGGAGAAAAAGGAAATAAATTAAGAACAAAGAAAGAATAAAGCATCAAACCAATTAGGGCTCCTATATATCTGCAATAAACCTGAAAACCAAAAGATAGAAAGAAAGAATAAGCTCGTTGAAATTGATATAAATGTTATTTTATTTAAATATCAAAAATAAATGCATATATGAAAATACATTGGTTATCGAAAAAGAGACAAGATGATATCTAAAGGATTGAGCTGTTTCTTGGATAGGCAGATGGCTAGATAACGTTGTAACGACAAACAGGACATGAAAGCTTGTGGCCTAGCCACTGAAAAATACAGTCCCTATGAAAACTGTGGGAACACAACAATTTCGTGGTGCTGCTTTCACCCAACGCTTCTAGACAGATTGTGCATGAGTCTTGTTCTGTTTGTAACCGATCAGGATGATCTTCGGATATGTCATCATGATCTATCACATCACTAAACCAAGTTTCTTCTATAACTCCAACTTGAGTTACAATTAAGAAACCTGATCTTCCTCCTTTTTTTTCTCGATGCAGCTTAATCGCTTCTTTGGCGATGTTAACAACAACGCAGTCCCGGATACATGCGTGGATTCCATTATCGATCAACATATAGGTCAACAGGATAGCGCACAATTCTACACCAATCAAAATCATAGGTGGGATCTCGGTTCTCACTTCTACAACTTCCTTCCCGCCGATGGTTGTTTGTTGAATTAGGGTTTCACGACCACTAGCACTCCGCTTAAAAACGCGTTTGATTCCACGGATCCTTAGTACTACCGATACTGTATCTTTGGAATTGTCGAGACAGGCGTATGATTTTGATTCATAAGAGTCTATATTCATCGAATGTTTGAGCGCCATCGAGATCGAGAGAGAGATATCCAAACGCTAGCTAGTGATTGATTATAGTTGGCCAAGACAAAGAACAAACTGTCTTCTGTTTGGTTTGGTCTATCATCGATAAACCTCTCTATTTATAGGCTTAGTTATGTTTGTGTCTTTTCCCCTTTTCTTGCAAAGCAAATTAAGTTTCCATTTTTTTTTCTTTTGTTTATGTAGGTAATAAAAGGAAATTTCTGTCTTTTTCCTTCTTTTTTTTTTTACCTTATTTCTATATTTGCAAATTGTACCACAAAACAATATATTATTAAAAATATTTTAAAGCTGAAATAAAGCTGAGAAAGCATTTATCATCAGTCCACTGGAGATAATTCAAAGAATAAGCAATCGTTGTGGCTCTGCTTTTATCTTCTGCTTTGGTTTTTTTTTTTTTAAGAGAATTTACACTCTTTGGACAAGCATATTTTCTTCTACTGTTTCTTTTGTTTGTTTAAGCTTGAAATATTCAAACTCAAGATCATGGAGGATTCGTCTTTTCCAATAATAAGCATAATTAATTGGACTTCTAAGAAGAAAAAAAAGAAGAAAAAAAAAAAGCGAATTCAATAGCATGGTTGGTATTTTCTCCACATTTTCTGTTGTTAGAAGCGGCGGCCATAGGCGGCGAACACAGAGTGCCATCATCATAAGCTCTCATTTTTTTTATTTGCATGTCTGATTCCAATAGTGGTTATATGGAACAGGAGAATTTGTTGTGTTAGATTTATGTTTGAGCTTTATGTTCATAGTAATTCCTTCTTAGTATGACTCTTCTCCAGTAGATAATTTTTTTTTTTTTTTTTTTTTTTGAATTAAGCCACCTAGCAGATTTTTTGCTCTAACAATTCAGGCTCATAATCGATGGGAAAATCAAAGAGTTGATGATTACATTAGAAGATTATTTGAGTTGCTTGTTTTCAATATTTCCAGTTAAATCTTTTGAACTCCGATCATTGGTTTCAAGCAAAACATTCTTGATAAGGTATTTATTTGCTTCTTTCAAATCCATAAATTGGTTTGATCAAGCTAGACCTGACATGAAATCGCGCGTGTTTTGCTTCGTTTCATCAATAGGCTGATGACGTACCTTGCATCACACACCACACAAGTTCCTTCAATTTCTAGTTCCTTTTCCTGCATATCCATTACATTTCGATCTCCCATTTGGTTTAGGAAAATTATGAGCAGAGTTGGCTAAAGGCTTAAAGTAGAAGTGGAACTAGACGATGATTCAAGATGGTTTTGCAACTAGTGTGTGTGTTTGTTACAATTGAAATCTTTTTATATTTTTTTTGTCAAAAACAAAGTTCTTTTCTCTTATAGGGTATTTTTCTTCTTTTTCCTCTCCATTTGATGATTTTAGTAGAATATGTGACAGCTAAGTTCGCTTGATACTATATATGCTACTAACAAACAAATTGATAACAATCTTTATCCACTTGAAGCATTCAAAAAATGAACCAATAAATGAAGGCATAATGCTCATGCATCTCATCTTCAGGAAAATTACATAGCAATCAAAACACCGAGAACTAGCTAACTACAAATCTCTAAAAAATCAAATTTTTATTTTGTGTTCGTATCACATTCTGATTTTCTTCCAAATTTAAGAAGATGAACAAAATTTTGATTTTTGTGTATACCTTTGTTGTGTTAAAGAAGATTAAATATTGGTCTCTTTTTTTTGTCCTCTTAGAGGTATTGGGTTTGTATTCTCTCTCTGTTCTGCTCCCACCATGTCTTGGCAGGCACTTCCACAAACCATTTCCGACTGCAAACACCAGGTTCGAAAGGTTTACGGTTAACCGCCAAATAAATTAGGATATAAAATGCTGAAAAAACTGGTTCTCTGGTTCCATCTGATTGTCTGATGGTAATGTAGACACCAGGCTCGTCCTCTTCAAACCACTCAGCTTGCATTTCACTAGCATTACTCATGGATGGCGGTTCGTCCCTCGATGAGGTGGTGATTCTTGCTGCATCCATTGGAGGTCCATAAAAATGATGTGGGACACTGCCTCTTGGTGGTCTGAAGTTGTTGTCTCTTTGTGTCCAGTCTCTGCTTTCTCTTGCTGAATCAATTCTTGTGTAAGTAGAATCTCTCTGCGACTGTCAGAAGAAACAAACAGAAGTTTAAAGTTGAGATTACTCATAATCCTTCTCTTAAGTTGTGATCTAAAGAGTGATGCTTTTTACCTGGTCCTCGGAGCTTGGCCATTAAATCTCTGAACATTGTATAGCTCAACTATTCTGTCATAGTTCTCATCCCACCATCTCTGAGCCTGCCACTTGTCGAATACCTCGCGACTCCAACAAAGATACAAAGTATATGTTAGCTTCATTTCACATCAAATCATTGTATGTCCTTGAGTAAAACGTATTCTTGAAAATGTTATGAATATAATGGATTCCGATACCTGAAACGTATTTGTTTAAGATCATTTCCTCCACTGGGAAGTGAGACGAATGTGATATGAACACCGGGCTCTACTTGAGCCATCTACTCCTTTTGGCTCGTCATCTTCTAGTACCACATCACACGACTGAGCAGAGATGGATTCACGCTCACTGCCATACATTGATGTGAATCTTGAGTCTGGCCGTCCAGTTTGATGGTAGGAGGATCTTGGTAAGTCCCAAGTAGGAGTGGAACTTGTGCTTCCACCCGGATAAGGGTATGGAACACTTTCTGAACACTTTTGCTACTTTTGGATCTCAACAGTTGAAATGTGTTTCATCTTTTCTGGCTTTTGGATTTTGATAGACACATAACAGAGAATTTGTAGTGTAGTGATATCACAGTTCATAGCATTAAACTTTTCCAAGTGGTTTTGTCTTCACAGCAGCAGGAAAAGAACAAACCAAGAAAACTTAAACTACATAATAAATCTTCACCAAACCGTTCAAGATAATAATACCAAAGCAACTGAATTTAGACATTTAGTTTAGAAACCAAAAAATACCCAAATTGAGTATAATCGAACTAGAGAACAAACCAAAATTCTTAGCAAACAGAAGAGCAAAGAAACAAAAACTTCTTTCGTTACTCTGTTTATGATATCTGACGACAATTCCAATTAGTGTCGAAGACTAAAAACCCTAAATCTTGCACCAAAATCAAATTACATTTCCTAAGAAAAATTGCACCTTTAGGCCAACAGAAACCAAGAATTGACAGAAATGAAGATCCTTTTTTTGTATCGTACGTGTGATCCTCTGGCGATAAACAGAGCATGATCAGAGAGGCGGAGAATCTCCGAAAGAAGAGCATCTGTGGCTACATTCGCCAGCGTAGTGACCGGAATCGTAGTCAAGAATAGGGTTTCCGTAGCAACATTCGCCGGAAGTAGAGGCGCCGTCGTGGCTCGCCGTAGGAGGCACAAGAGCAAAACAGAGTTTACCTGTTCCAGATCGGAAAGACCAGAGAGGAAAAAAGTCGTCGACTTTAAAGCTATTAGCAGCAAGCACATTTTTCCAACCATCAACAAAGACATAATACCAGTTTCCAGTCATCTTCCATTTCCTCAGATCAAGGACATGCTTCTTCAACAAAGGATCCACCAAATCAACACTCACACCTTCTTTACGAATCTTCAAAGCTTGTTCATTTATGATTCTTGTTTCTTCCTCTGTCAAAAAGTCTGGATCTTTCACTTGCCTAAAAGGTACTGAGAGACGTGCTTGAAGACTGGCGAGATCAGTCTTAAACAGTTTCCTCGTTGAGATCAGCTTTGGATTGTAGCCGTTCTCTTCTCTCTTCATCACGTTCAGAAGCCATACCGGTGGTGTCGTTTGAATTGGTTCCACCTCTAAAGGACCATCGATTTTAAGTTTCTTGAGACTTCTCTCTTCCATGGTGTCAATGTGACGACGTTTCTTGAACTGGGTAACGCAAGAAGAAGAAGAAGGTTCCGATTCGGTATTAGGGTTTTGAAGTTCCGATGATCTCTGTTGTTCGATCGCACACGTCTTGCGAGAAGAAGAAGATGATCGGTGGGTTCTGTTCTTTCTCGGTACTTTATCTCCAAAGATTCTTGCTTCTATCTCTGTTTCTTCGTCAATGGTCTTTGATTTCTCTTCCTCGTGAGTACTGTACTCTTCATCGTAAACCATGGCAGCGACAAGTAACAACATCTCGAAGTTCGACTCTGAAACCCTAGGATCATCAGTATTATCCATTGTTTTCGATTCTCTGAAAGACGGGAAATTTTTAAAAGAATTTGTACCGTTGTACGCAAGAAACCTAAAGCTGGGGTAGAAGAAAGAAAGAGAGCGAGAGGAGAGAGAATGAGCGTGAATTGAAACTTGAAAGTATGAGAGAAGGTAGAGAGAGAGATGTGTGGTGTTCTTAAATAGAAATATATGACGTCATCTCAAGTTCTTCACAAATCACTAAATCTAATAAGATCTTCTCATGAAATTTCTGGCCCTTAATTATGACCGTTATGTGATTATGTTAAAATTTAAAACATGTGGCCAGACTAAAAATTACCAATGTCTTACTATTTATTTTTCTTAATATTATTTTGTTGATTTATGAGACGCAAATATTTTCCTAGTGTTATTAGTTTATGAAATAATTTTGTATTATATATTACCATCTAAACACATTATAATTTTTATTTTACATTTTTGAGTAAATATATCAAAGTATTAATTTCATTGAAATCATTGTATATAAATAATTTCATAGAAGAAAAAATATTATAATGTTACGATTTACCGGTTTTGGAGAATTTGCATAAGTTGTACCCAGAGCGTTATTCTTCTTGAATGTAAAAATCATGTACAACAAAATCTGGTACACGCTTTTGAACCTAAAGTTTTAACTTAACCTCATCAGCTAAAACTCTCTTTACATATATTCTTACACAAGAGTGTGTCAGTCAATGATACAAGCTGCTGACATTAACTACCTCATGGCTCTTCTGCCAATAGGCTTCTTCTCAGGTCTAAAGGTTTTTTTTTTATAAGTTTTACCATTTCCAATCTACTGGCTAAACTCGTCTATCCTCCATAAGCATTCTTTTCTCAGCGGAGAATCTGTAAATATAGCTTTGATGAAATCTTGTACCTGCAACAAATACATTACAAAAGCTTTCAGAATCGACCAAAACCAATTATCAAAGATCCAATATTCAATCTTTAGATTTAAGTTGTTATCGGTAATTATTAGGATGTGTTCATGAAGTAAAAACGATTTTATAAAGATTGTACCTCTGTTCTTGTGAAATTGCAACTAAATAACTCCCCACTTTCCCAAGCTGAAGTTATAGACTTGAGAGGCATATCCAATAGTTCTGGAAAATGATAAACAAAAAGAAAAGCCATGGTAAGAAAACTTCACTGAGCCAATGCCGAGTTAGCCTCAAACTGAGGGAAATGAAAAAGAATGAAAAGACATGCCTGCTAGTTTACGGGTTTTGCGCAAAGATGGTATGAGATCATCAAGAGGACAAGAAGTCTCATCTGCACATCTCAGGGAATCGAGTAAAGAAGATAGATTCTCCAACATGGGATAAATCAGTCTTTGTAGCTGAGAATAAATAAGCAAACCCATATTCAATACCCACTTACCCAGTTAGAAAATAACATTGCACAAGCGACTAGCAAACAGAAACAGCTACCTGAATAGTTTCATCAGCAGCCATGTCGTCTAGAAGAAGAATATCTCTGGCTATTCTGCGAAATACCGACTCCAAAACTGCGCACATGCTTTGCTTGTAAGTTTTGGGCCGTAAGACCGGCTCCCATATCATATGCACTTTCTCTAGACTAAAGACAACCTATAAAACAATTGCATTTTCCTGATTAAACTGACACTTGATTGGAAAGAAGGTAAGGAAAAAGCAAACAAATTCAAGTCTGTGTAGTTACCTGCTCAATGCTAAATTTTGCAGATTCAAATTGTTTCATTTGATGAGTATTCTGAAATCCATCTGCACTATCTATAGCCTGATCATAGATGCAAAATGTTCGACGAGGAATCAATACTCAGTAGATAAGATTACTTTGTAAGATTTAAGCACAGTTTTTTCCACACAGATTCACCTCTCGTAGACTCGAAATCACTAGATGAACTTGTTTTTGCAAAACTTCTTCTGCCATCAGTTTAAATCTTGGGGCTATGTCAGCAAAGACTGCATACTCCTTGATGGAGCTAGGGAAGCTAGCACGATACTGTGAACAAAAAATGATGAAATAGTCAGCAGAAAGAGAGAATTATAACTTTCACCTGTTAATGAATAAGGATGCTTAAGAAGACAATTTCTTAACCAAAGAAAGAAGCTAAAAACAGCTGTTTATCTTGCTTAAACACATTGATCATACCTCAAAAGCAAGTCCAAGTATCTCTTCGAACAAATATAGACAATCGTTGTGCAGAAGAACAGCAGCTTGATTGATGCCATCGAGTTGTTTCTCTAGCTTCACATTTCAAGAGAGCAAGGAAAAAGAAAGATAAGAATTTGCGCATATTGGTGAGAGATTTTCATGTGATGATAGTCACTAGACTGATTCAGTTGTTAAATCTTCATAAGACTTTTTTTTCACTGACCTTGACAGGAACAACAGCTTCATATAGAAGGATAGAATCTCTAGCAGCGTTGTAGAACTCTGAAGCAACCCTTGCAGAAGAAACACAGACATCCTGTATAAAAATGAGTTTATTATCCCAACTGTGTCTGGAAAAATGCTTAGATTGAATTGCAGAAGTCTGAGAAGAGCCACCTCGAGCGTCTTATGCACCAAATTCATAAGTTGAGATGCAGCTTCAGATACCACACACCTTTCAGACGAGAAAAGTAAGCAAACGATGTGCTTGGAAGAATTCACATCTAAAGATTCCACACCATCAGACTTAAAATTGGCATTCCTCACAGAAATACCCTGGAAAAGGAGTTCACAATCATGTTTTTTAACATGAGAAGGTTAATGCCGTAAATATGACATGATGATGATAATCAAAGCCCACCTGGGGAATCGTAAAGTTACATTGCAGCAGAAAATTTCTTGCTTTTGCTAGGATTTCTATCTTCTTTCTAGATGCAAAATGAACCTCCACATCTTCAGCGTATTTGCTGAGCCTACTCTCTGCGTCAGATGTTGAAACAAAATTCAATTCCTTTAGAGCTGCTTCGAATTGAGAGGTCCGCTCGATAATTTTCTGAAAGTCAGCAAGTTTTGAAGCATCTTCTGGGACAACCTGACTCCAAAGGGAACAACAAAACAGACTACAACAGTTAAAGTACAAAGGAGAAGACTGCTCTATATCTCTCTCTCTCTACCAAAGAAATTTCTACATAATTTCACAACTTCATGAATTTTAAAAGCAAACCTTTGAAAGAAATTTAGATATAATCAGCTCTGATATCCTCGGCCATGTCAATCTCCCAAAAGAATGGATCCATGTAATGTTTCCAAAGCACATCGAACTGCAAATGAACTTAACAACCTTAAGAATTCCTGAATATATTGCATCTCCATCCACATCTTCAACCTGCATTTAAGTGGGTAAGTATTTAAAGGTTCAGGAGAAATAGACCAATGCAGAAAATACAAGAAACATATAATCTATCAGCCAAAGAAAATAAAGAGTTCATGAGATGGATAGAGGCTCTTCTAGACCTCATCCGTATCAGATAAACATCTACCTTATGATCGGAGGATTTCTCTAGCCTTAATGTAGCTTCGGTTATGTCCCCTGAGGTTTTACTTGAATCCTCTACAGCGGTAAAGGTAGATGCATGAGTTACAGCTGGAGTGATGACATGCTTGAAGATTGAGTCAGCTGCTTTCGCAAGCCCATAGTCTAACATTCCAATCACCTAGATAAGTCCAGAACAGTCAGATGTCAAAAAGTGTAATCTAACAAATGACTCATTACAAAAGAAAATAGTATTGAAATTGCAATAATTTTCGCCAGATATAGAAGTCAAATCATATATTCATACCTCCATTGCCTCGAGAACAGTACTAAGAGCGATTCCAGTAGTCTCACCAACGCTTAGCTGATACTTAATCCGAAGTCTACTAGAGTCTAGCTCGAAACGCACTGCATTCTCCATGAATTTTGCAAGCACCTCTTGAATCTGCAAAACACACACACGATTCCTTGAAATGTGAAACTAAGCTAGCCATTGGCACTGAGCTAAACAAAGGTTTCACTTTATTCAATCCATGCTTGAAATTGCTGCTCACCTCCTCAAAGCAATTATACCATTCCTTCCTAAGCAAAGTGTAAGCCACAGGTTCTCCTTCTTCCTCTTCACCAATCCTCAATACGACTTTCAATTCTCTGATTCTCTCAGCGGCGAATCTGAAACGTCCGTTTTTCAAAGCTTCCTTCGTTTCCTGCAATGCCTCACAGATTCCAACGATCGCACTCACTAAATCAAGCGATTCTCTCTTCAATTTCACTTCCTTAGTCTTTTCGGTTATCTCATCCACTACTCTACGAATCTCAACATCAATCGGACGGTCAGAAACCAATTGTAGGACATCGGAGACATCATCGGAGATCAGACGAGTCCTCGAGACGGTGTCTTGACAAAGCGAGAAGAGCTCTGAGAAATCAGAGTGATGAGCGACGAGGTATGACTGAACTTTGGACTTGATCCGCAGGGAATGAGACTCTAAGCGGTTTATGAGGAGACGGAGATCCGGCGCCGATAACGGAGTTGTGGGATCGTTTAGATCGTGTCCGGCGAGAAGGTCCCGAACATTGATCGATTCAAACAACGCGTCGATCTCCGGCATGACGGAGGGACGGTGGTCGTTGTCGTCGGTGGTCTTTTCCGATTAGAGAGTAATTCGCGGTGAGAGATTTGGCGGTGACGATGGACCTTTATTGGACACGACGATTTTTATTTTACTTTTACTATTGGGCCTATCAAATTAAATGTTAGGCTCAAGGCCCAATTCTTCATCAGAAACGTGTAAATTTCTTTTAATTTTTTTGTCATCTAAACATGTAAATTTTTTTTCCTTGTATAGAAAAATAATAGAAATAAGTGATTATTGGGAAGAAGGAAAAAAAAAAAAAAAAATACTGCAACAGTTACTTAGCCTTAAGACTAGCTCAAAAGAAAACTCTCTACTCCATTAATAGTAAATTCCATTTCTTATATAAGCATAAATTGTAAGAGAAAAACATAACAAAAGAACACAATAAATAAAAGACAAAAGCTTTAAAAGTAAGTTGGATTAATCTACATTGTAATTTTGTTTCAGACAAGAGAAAGAGAGATAGAGA